ACACAATAGCACTTTAAGACATTAGCTGCATTTCTGGTTTCTTTTTCACATGGGCAGGGCCTGGAGCTCTTCCAAAGGCATTGCCTATACATATACATGGACAGCATTACTGTTGTATACACCAGGAACAGAGAACAGCAGAGCAACTGAGCACTGCTCTGCTGAATGGAAGCTCTGACCTGGAGATCTTAATAATTCAGAACTGCCTATGAGTTTACAACTAACATTTCCTAATGTCCAGATTCTCAGTTCTGACCACTGGGTCTCAAGCCCAAAAGGATATCAATGGATATGAAAGAAGAATCAAAGGACAGACTCATGGAGAGGTAGAAACAATGGCTTTTTCCATCCATACTAATAGTACTGACCAAAACAAAACACTAGTTTATGCCATGGAACATTAGCTAAAGATTTACTGTGTCCACAGGCACAGGATGATGAACTGTGAACACCTACTTGCTGAAAGTTTAAAGTAGAGCTTTGTATTAGTGATTAGATGATCAAATTAGTCATCAGTCTGTTGTGCAGTGATATTAACCTCAAGTTTGTGATGAGATCTGTACCTTTTAGTGTGAGATCTTACTTCCTCATAGCTTAATATTTTAAATTTGGTCAAAATGTTTTCTTAATGGGCTGTTCTCCAGGAATATTTATTACCTTAAAACTCCCATGAATTAAGTACTATTTTTTTTGTCTTTTTTTTTTTTTTTTAATATGGGAGCACTGATAAAAAATAGAAACCACATCCTCCCTTAGTCTCAGTCATATGCTACCAGAAGATCTCTTGCATTCTCTCTAGCAAATGTGTGACTGTGAGATATGAATTGGTGATCTCCTTCTTCTGTAAGAACAATACTAAAAAAAAAGTATAATTATTTTTCTACTACATGGAAGCACAGTTCTATTACACAGCTCTCAAACATGAAAACGTTGATTACGTTACTTACATCTAAGAACAACTCTACATTAACATCCAGTTATATTCCAAACCGCTCTTCCTTTCTCTTTTCTTCTTTTTCTTCTGTGCACAACTCTAAGATGACCATCATAGGCTGAACATAAATCTTTATGCAAATATCAACAGCAAAGATCACTGCTATTTCCATATTTAGGACTTCCTCAACTGCTAGAGCCACTCCTCTAAGATCCCTTTAGTGCAACTCCAACAGTTACCTCGTACCAGCTTCATTTTGGAAAAAAAAAATGTTTCTTCTCACACTCCTGCTGTTTTCTTACCGTAAGCCAAGGACACCCTTCACACATACTGCAAATATTTCTAAATAAGAACCACCATTTCCTGTCTTAAAGTTTTCTCCTCTTCTTCCAGCTCAAATCTCTCAACAGATTCAGAATGCGACTGCAGACTGCAGAGGTAGGCTCTTTTTATTTTCAGTTTTGGGACATGGGCTGAAATCAACAAAAAATGGGGAAGGTATTTGAAGTGACAAGAGCCTTCATGTAAGACTAAATCTCTCACCCCTGGCTGCACTGAGATGCTTTGCAAGCTTCTATACAAGGCTAACTTCATCTTTACTAATGTACACTTCTATGTACATTCAAAATTGCTTGAAGATATCGAGATGTCCTTCTCCCTCTAAAAGAGTTGGAATTTATCTTAGACTGATTTATTACCAATTTATATGAAAAGACGAGGCAAGTTATTCTTAGATATGCATTAGTGTTATCTCATAAAAGCAGAACAAGTTGATACAAAATCAAAGCTCCAATTGCTTCTATTGAAAAGTCAAAAGTTCAGACATCATATGTGAGATTAACTCTGCCTGTTTACATATGGTCACAGACAAAATACTGTTTTCACTTTTAGGTGCACATGCTACCTCTTTACTAGCTTATAAAATTACTTTCTCCTACAATCAACACCTTGTAATATTTCTCTTTTATTAACTGTTTTAAATGTTGCTGTAGTTCAAAAGTTTTTCTTTGGTTCATCTAAATACATCTGTTGCCTTTGTGTGCGTGTGGCTCTCTTGTATATGAAGGCATGCATTTTTCATCAAGCGTTTGGAGTTCTACATTGATAAGGAAAAACACAAAGTTGTGGTGCCTGTTATTGGAATTAGGAAGCGTAGGAAAAAAAATAAACATCTATTTTAATAGAATTAAGTATAGCCTAAAGGTCAGCATGCTTTGGGAATAACCTGGGGGTTTCGTGCAATGACAGGTGAACTCACAAGTTTCTTCTTTCCAGAGATCCTTTCCAACCCCAAGCTCACACCTCTTCATGGTACTTTGGAAGTAGGGATGAACCAGAACGTAAGCCTCTCTTGTCACTCGGACTCTGGATCTCCTCCTGTCAGATATACACTATTTAAACACAGTCAGAAGGTGTCTGCTTTAAATAAGACAGACTTGACTCCAGCTTTGTTTAACTTAACTATCAACTCTGCCAGCGATGTGGGTGAATACAAGTGCAAAGCTGAGAATGAAATCTCCAATGGTGAAAAATACAGCAGAAGTCTCAACTTCACACTTAAAGGTATGTCTTGCTGTATTAATTTTCAGCACATTTTATTTTACTGGATACAAGGAAGATATCTTTCACAAGAAAGGTGGTGAGGCATTGGAACGGGTTGCCCAGAGAATGCCCCATCATTGGAAATGTTAAAAGTCAGGTTGGACGGGGCTTTGGCAAACCTGGTCTAGTAAAACCATCCCTCCTTAATGATGGAGCTGAACTTAACTTCTGTGAACTGCTATCATTCCCTCAGGAGTCAGCAGTGTTGTTCTGGTATGCCCCACTGAATACTTCATCCTTTATAGGCATCTCTTTCTCTAATGTTGCTGCTTAATTCAGAGTCTTGCTTTGGAGTTTGTCCTGTAATCAGCACTGAAATCTTTTCAGGTTCTTTTTGTTGCTGTTGTTTTTTACAGAGCCAGTTTCCAAACCGGTGCTGAGCTCACCCAATTCTCAAGCAAAGGAAGGTCAAAACGTGACCTTGTCTTGTCTCTCAGAGAAAGGCTCTCTCCCTATCACATACACATTCTTCAAAGACAGACAGAGCATCCAAGCCCCGGTGAAGATGCAGAAGAGGGAAGCAGCAGTGATTTCCGTACTTATCAAATCCTCTAGTGACTTTGGAATGTATAAATGCAAAGCTGAAAATCGCCTTCGCAATAATACAAAATACAGCAACAGTTTCAATTTCACATTAGCAGGTATGCACGTAGCACACAGTGTACTACTGCCAATAAGCAGCCAGGGACAGAATACAGTATGAATGCAATTATTTAGCCAGAAACGTTATTCCTGCAATGTAATGCTCAAATTGTAACTATTTCAATAGTAATTCTAAAAACTGAGTTACTTTTAAATTAATGCAAAAGACAATAACATGCAGCCTAGATAGTAATAGTAGAAGTGACTCTGAGGATGAGTGTAAAGGACTCACTTTTAGAAGAGATCCCTGGTCCACTCCGCTCTGCCTTGGAGCAATAACAGTTTCCCTTTTCTCTCTGATCTCTACAAAAGAGAGGGTCATTGACAGCAGCAGCCTCCCCTCCTTCAGCTGTGGTGGTTGTGTGCAATTTGCACTCTGAGTAGTTCTGTTAACCACAGCTAAACCAAAAGCTGAAAGAAATGCAAGGTTGTGATTTTAGCTGGCAGAAAAGACTTTGAATACAAAATAACATTTCCTTACATAATCACCTTTTTTTTTTTTTCTTCCAGAGGAGAGAAGCAATTCTCAACCCCTGATCATTTCCCTTGGACTGATCTTACTACTGTTAGCAATAGGACTTGCTCTGGCAATTCCATTTTTCATAATCCCTTCATATAAAGCAAGTGAGTTATTTGAACATGTTTCATTTTCTGGAGGGGCTGGTTTATGTCTTCAGTATATTGTAGTGTGCAAACACGTTACAAATTATGGTCTTGGCATTTTAGGAAGTTGTTAACTCTCCTTTTAACCAGCCTGCTGTAAAGACATTCAGTGTAAGACTTCTACCAACATTTTCAATAGCAGACCTAAAATGAGGGAAGCAAAGAAATAGCTAAAACAGGACAAATACTGAAAAGAGATGGATGTTCTTTGCAAAGAAAGTCTATTAAAAATGCCTCTGTTAAGGAAAGATGTTGTTTTCATGATCAATAAGTATTTAAAAATAAAATGGAGCTGCTAAACCACCTCTAAGACAAATTGATACATGCACAAGGTTGGCTTTTGTTTTGTTTTGGTTTTTTTTTGCAGAAAAATTTACACCTCCTCGGTTCTCAACTGGCCATACTTCAACAGAGAAAGTAGAAGAGTCAGAAGACTATGTCACATACGCAGAGATTGGCAAGTTCACGTCACTCTCCACATAGCCACAAAACTGAAATATGCAGGAGTTTGTACAAAGTGCAAGAATGCTCTTGTGCTGTGCACAGCTAGTATGGACCAATTCCTTTGCACACTGCAGAAACAGCAGAAGGGAACACCTGCTAAGTGAGCTGTTAGTACTCCTACTGACCATGCCACAGCAGACACAACTCAGCATCACCTATTGGGCAGTCTGCCATGCAGCCAAAACCACAACTGGTTAAATGCACTGAAGTTCCATAAATAAAATGGAGAACTGCATTTGATAACTTACAGTGAGGATAGAACAGCCATTACAGAGGAAAAGAAAACTAGAATAAGTAAACCTGAGGTGCAGTGGCAGTTAATTAAGAACTGAAAACAGGCTACAAGCAAGCTGCAGCAAAACAAAACGTAGCTCCTGCAATCTGTTCAAAGTTCAGTCATTTGTAACTGAGTTAACCACTGTTCATCTTTAATCCAGAGCCAGTTCAACCAGAAGAAGAATATGTCAACCTCTCTGTTATAAGAAGAGATGAACAAGGTAAAAACCTTATTTTGTAGTGGTGGAATATCTGATGTGCACAACTGTGTTTGGGGTGAGGGGGAAGATTAGGGTTGGAACAGCAGAGTGTAAGGTGAATAGTAGCAGTTACATATTGAAACTGCTAACTTACCATGGGAAATATAAGAGTATAACTTCATCTAAGCTAAAGGGAGAAAGATTCCACAGCTTAATTTTGGAACCATGCAGGAGATGTTACTAGCAACCAAGTTGCTGATGGTGTGTTAATTCTTCTGCTGTGTCTTTACTAAAAAAAAATAAATAAATATCAACATGAATTAATTTTACTCTTTTCACAGAGAACAGAGCATGTGCTACAATCTATACAAAGGTCCTCATCAGAGATGGAGCACAAGGTAACATGGCCTGTGTGATTAACTAACTCTATTACACATTTATAAAGAATCTTTCAGTTCTCACATATTTATAAGTACCACCACATCTGCTCAGTGCTGATGTTTAGATACTGATTGCCTGGCCAAAATTTACTTAACAGATCACATAGTTGGTTGTCTACTACTAAGAAAAATCCTTAAGTAATACTATGGTTATAAAACAAAATGTCTAACATGTAGATTGCAATTACAAAGAACAAATAGCAATCCTGTTAAATAAACAAGAGTTTCTTGTCATTTTTTATTTTTAATGGCCAAAAGCACAGTGGAGTCACTGTCAGGACAAGAGCGAATCTCCTGTGCATTTAACCATTATTCCTGAAATAAGAACTGGATTGTATAAGAGCACAAATTAATCAAAAACTGTTTAGTCATTACAAGAAGTTATTTCAACTTTGTTGTCCTCCCAGGCTAGAAGATCCATATCTGACTTTTCTATCTGCTGTTACCCAGTGGTAACCATAGCAGTTTCTCAGTTCTCAGAGTGAAGTAAAACCAAAGAGAGAGAGTAAAATTGAAGACAAGAAAGACAATATGGTTAGCCCTGCTGCAGAGGGACAAGTCTGTCTCTCTCTTCTTTTCCAGGTAGCCTGGAAGACATTGATTTGACAGAAAGGTGATACATTATTAAGTTTTAGCAGAACTCTTTGCAAAATGGCTGAATCTGTGGCCATTGAAATCATTTCAGGCACAGACACTTACAAAAGTTACTTTTATTAGATACATTTAAGTTCATACATTTTTAGCTGATGCAATATACTTAGTTAAAAAGTCTTTCAACCTAGAAATGTGCATCATTTCCTTCATGGTAGTGTCTCTGCTTCTCAGCTGGACCACTCCGTTCTCCAGAGTAGAATCACTTATCAAGACCATGAAGAGAACACTCATCTCATCATACCTGCAAAGAAAAGATCACATCCACAACTGCTTCTGATGTATGAAATTGCAGATAAGTTACGTATCATAACCTGAATGTATTTATTTTGGCTATGATGCACTAAGCTCAGTGCCAAGACACTCATTTTCTTACGAAAAAGGACCTTGCTGTCCTGACTACATTTCTTTAAATTATTACATTACTTTAGAGCATTAATTGTTATTTAATGACCTATTATAAGAGTATTTTTATAGAAGTGATTATTCTGTTATTTAATAGCCAGACTTTGAAGACTACTGTACATGAACCAATCATTATATCTGTTTTTCATGCACATTTTCTCTGAGGAAAAGAAATTATTCATCAATATGCTCATGATCGATGGGTATGAGCTCAAAATGTACTGCTGATACACAAATCATGTAGGAAGAGTTCAACTGGAATACTGTTTTTTATTTGCTGAAATAACTCCTGCACATACATCATTTAGGCTTAAGGAACTTTTAAGTTCAGAACTGGGCACAGCGTGCCAGCTGAAGCAGTACTTCAGAATAGAACACAGAACTGGCCCAGATGCAAAAAAAGAGGAAGACAGTTTTGCAAGTTTATGACTCGTCTTAAGAAATTTACTTTCATAGGAGAGTCTCTAACAGAGATCTCACAATTCAAACAACAACCCTGGAAAAAGTGTGGAAGGCTAATGTTTCATTCAATTCTTAAAATGAACAGGCATTGCTCCTTCTAATAAAAATCAATAGAATCTGAGTTTATAGACCATATGCCTTTATTTGTGTGGTTATTGCACTCAATAACTTCTTGCTGAAAAAAGCACATTTTTGCTAGTTCACAGAAAATCACCCTTTACCTTTGTACATTAACTTACTAAAAACGTTTCTCCTTACTTTGTGTAAAGCTGCTCCAGAGATAGCTGTGTGGTTTCAAGATAACCTGGCCACACAGCAATTCTATTTTCTGATAGTTCATTGAACAATCCTTGACAAACCTGTATTTATTTAAGAAAAAAAGTAAAAAGAACCATTTTGAGAATCTAGAAACAAATCGAACTCTGTTACTTGCAATTTTAGCATTCCTAGTTGGTGTTAGTTTACTGGCTGAAGTGATCTCATTGTGTTTAGCTGTTTAGCAATTAAATCTCAACTTTTATTTAAAAAACACATCAGCCTAAGTTTCTTCCCTTCTGTGGCAACTGGCTTAATGACTGACTTAAGGAAAAAAAAAAAAAAACAAAAAACCTTAAAATCTGAAGATAAAATCCATGAGTTAAGATAACTATGAAAGATTAAGAACCCGAGAGGGATTTTGTCATTTATTTTACCTATTTTTTTTTCATGAAACAAATTCAAACTTCCTAACAGTACTAAAGCAGTGTGCTAAAGCAAAGACGGCATCTGCTTCCTCACTGTTCTCCTTCAGCCATGACTCACAAGCTCACTGTGGAGGAAGCATTATGAAATATGTGCAAACATGAATCTCAGGATTGAAACAGCAGCACTTTCACCAACATAAACAGTGCCTGACTTTCAGTTGAAAGTCACTTGGGAAGTTAACACTGTATATTAACACGTGTTCTCACAACATACCTGTCGCAGCTCTGTTGTTGGGCCCTTCCCTACATCCAAAGCCACTTTGATAGGTGTTAAACAAGGGTGAAGTTTAAGTACCTAATAATGTCACAAAAAGCAAGAGATTACTGAATATGGCCAGTATGAACACTGAGACAGAACTACAGAATACAATGCAGTCATTTGAAGATTTTTCATTGAGATGAAGCAGCTTTGCTACTAAAGGTTCTAAACACAAGGAATTTTTCTTACAGCTCAAAATCCTGAACTAGAAAAAAGCAAGCCATATTTCAGATACTCGATATATATGCCAGCTAGGTAATCAGAATGTAAGTTACCATTCTGTTTGAGTCCCAGAAGAGGAGAGATGAAGATTAGTTAGCAGAGCTTTAGCGGGACTAAGGAGATCAAAGAGACAGCCCACTAGGCAGTTACTATCCAGCCTACTGCTTATTCTTAAAGACAAACACCTGTTTGATTAGCAAGCAGTGTGAATGCTAGCACTGTAACTCTAGAAAACCTCAGTAAAAGTAGGATTCATGATGGTCACTGAGGGAAAATGCCTCACTGCTACCTGTAACCCAGCTTTTCTGCTCTTGGGAACCTTCAAACTCTGCTGGAGAAAATTGTCTCTTCTAGCATTTTCTCTCCCTCTCAAAGCAACTACATTCCAATTCCTCCCAATGACACCACTTACATGGCAAAAGCTTACTAATCACTGGAGAGAAGGTATGAAAGGAAAAGTGATCTCTGAATGAGAGAAAAATTGTTTATATGGGTAAAAAGGACTACAGAAGCAGTCCCGTGAGCCCAGTCTATTGCTAGTACTGAAAACTGTTCTGCCTGCATCCTTTGGGGAAGGGAACAGAAATATAGAAGAAAGAGATGATTGAATTTATCACCTTCTCTATGAATTATTAGGTTTGTACTCAACACAATGCTCTCAGACAACAAAAGCACTTTGCTGCTTGCTTTCACAGGCACACTGATCTCTGTTGACCTAGGATGTGATTTTTGGCATTCAGGCCCAGCACTTAAGCACATCCCCTCCCTCCATCATCCATTCTCCCTTTCACTAGTTACCTTTCTCTGCGAATTTTTCTTTGTTGTCAGAGGATTCTCAGCCAGCTGGAGAGAATCAAAGAGATAAGCTAATGCTCCTTGGTCCAGATTTCCACTCACAGACAGAACGTGAGGAAGAACATTCTTCCTTCCATCCCGGCCCTGATGAAGAAAAAAATAAATTACAAAAGCCACCAACCAACCGTGATGGGGTGGACACCTGAAAGACTGCTGCAGAGGGCCTTTAATTTATTTTAAATGTATAAGGAGGCAGTGAGCTCAAGCACCCTTCATATATTCAGACCTATCTTACAATCAGCTGCATTTTAAAATTACTGGCAACCTTAACATGTAACAGTGAGTCAATTAGTTTGTAACAAAGAGAAGAACAATACAGCTCACTGCTACTTTCAAAGAATTAACTCCATGCATAAACAACGCAGCATCGCTATTTTATAACATCTGCCAATGAAGGTCTGATAGCAGCATATCAACTATACTGATTTTACCAGAAAAGAAAAAGAAACAGTCAATAAATAATTGGATCAGCAAATAAAATGTTTCTCTCATCTTTATCATAAAAGATTCTCCATACAGTAAGGTAACGCTTACCAGTAATTTCGATCTGTCTCCTGGATACATCTGTAGCAGTTCAGTGTCACCAAGGTTTTTCAATGTTTCTATTGTTTCCTTCCCCCAAGGAAAGTCATAATGCAAATTAAATCCCCGCCTTCCTTCTTCATCCTGGAAGTCACTGCTGCTGAAGTTGGATGGGCCCACTGCAAACTGAAAATCAAAGATATAAGAGGTGTTCCACTATTGTGAATGCTATATTAACTACAAAAGCCACATCTGTGATGCCAAGAGAAGCTTATGGTTCACAGCAATTTTATCATCTTTTTTTTTTCTTTTCATAAATTTATGAAACCCAAATCACTTCAATTGTTTCACACTGCTTTTATCTCTAAACCTTTGCCTTTCTGCAAGTGTATCACAAACCACTTCATGGCTTTGTCATGATCTTAAGTAATTTTCAGTTTCTTGAAAGGAATTTATGTATTTCAGTTACAAGAATTGGCAACGCATCAAAAAATCTATCAGGGTGCTTATTTCCCCTCTCCATGAAAAAACAAAGGAGCAGGTCAAGATCGCCCATATTACACCACTGTTACCTTTCTCCACCATTGCAGTCTCTGACGTAACCAATAATCAAGCCACTGTCCTGCAGTTCTGGGAGAGCTAAACCACGTAAGTAACGATGTAGTCCTTTCACCTATTCTTTAAACAATAGCAAGGTCAGCAAGTTAACTCCTTCAGAAACAACAGGAAAGAAGCAAGAAATGGTTTTCAAGAGTAATCCAAGTTGAAACAACTATGCATACTTGTTTAGGTATGAAGAGAGATTTATCACTCTTTATTAGTCTACCTTCTAAGCTTTTCGTTGTGTTGCTCACTTCCTGGAATGGAGTGAAAACATACTCCAACTTCAGCAAGGCCACAGGGCAGTCGCTTGTTCACAAGTTCTAAGCAGCTAACATACTGTGCCAAAGCACCTGCCAGAAGACAGACAAGTAATTGCAGCAGCCACAAGGTATTTTATAGTAGGAACGAATACAGTGCATTAGCATATCCACAAGAGTAAATGAGGGTAGTAACGATGATTTAAGACCCCATTGCTGCATAGTGCTTATGCTTATAGCATCATATTTTGTGTTCTGCGGACATGAGCTCAGCAGCTCACAGCCCGTACCTGTGGGCACTGTGATTTCAGCATCCTACGCCTTCAACGCAGGGCAAAGCGTAAAGCGCACACCGACGCTCCGCTGCCCGGCTTCCTGAGTACAGATGGCAGCAATGAGACCCTCCCAGCGCGCTGCCACAACCGGAAAACGAGTTCCCCTGAAGGCAGCTGCGAACGGCCCGGGCTGCCCGAGCCCTGCGGAGCGCCGCCGTTCGTACCGGGCAGGAGGCTCTCACGAAGCGCTCCCGCGCTGCCCAGCGCTTCTTGCAGAGCCGCGCCGCCGGGCTCCCGGCCGCAGCCCCCGCTCTGGAGAATTTCGCGCAGGGTTTCCGAGTGCAGCAGCCGCGGAGCGCCCTGAGCGTACGGGGAGCCGGCGGAGGGACGGCCGTGCACCGGGGAATCCACCGCCAAGACCTGCTCCCGGCGGGCCAGCACCGCGTCCCACCACTGCGCCGCCAGGTTACCCCGCAGCGCCACGCCCAGCGGCCCGAAGCGGAGCTGCGCGCTCCGGGCCCGAAGCTCCGGATCGCCCCGCAAGAAGTGCCGCCTCCGGCACACCTCCAGCAGCAGCTCCTCCTGCCCACTCGCCTCCTCGCCGCCGGCCGCCGCATAAGGCCGTGCCAGAGGCCCGGCCTCCGACTCCCGGGCGGCGAGCGGCCGCCGCCTGATGGGAGCCGGGCCGCACAGACGGCGCCCTTGGCGACAGCCCAGCGCCATCTTGCCCACCGCCCTCACGGCTGAGGATGGGGGCGCCGCAAGCACCGCGCACGCGCCACCTGCCGCGCGCGCAGGAAACAGGACCGGCGCGCGGCCCCGCACGAGGCCGAGGGAACATGGCGGGTGCGCATGCGCGCCGCCTCGCGGCCTTCACCCCCTCCGGCTATGTGGGGCCCCGCCCTGTGGCTGCACTCCGCCTTCACGGAATCACAGAATGGCCCGGGCTGGAAGGGATCTCAAGGATCGCGAATTTCCAACCCCCCGCAGCAGGCAGAGCCACCAACCTCCCCATTTCATACCAACCCAGGCTGCGCAGGGCCCCATCCAGCCTGGCCTTGAACACCTCCAGGGATGCACGGGGCATCCACAGCTCTCTGGGCAGCTGTTCCAGCACCTCACCGCTCTCATAGTAAAGAACTGCCCTCGCTGCTCCTCACCCACGGGAGGTTACGGTGAGACAGGGGAGCCCCGCGCTCGGCTGTCGTGCCCACGGGGCTCCCCAGAGCAAAGGCTTTGTAAAGGAAAAAAACGTAACGCTTAACGCAGATCTCAGAGCGGCTGCACCGCGCTCCGCGTGCCGTGCAGCAATACACGGCTTCCCGCCGAGGGTTAACGCTGCAGAGGAAATCAACGTTCCGCAGGACGGCAGCTCTCGGGGAGCAGCCAGCAGCTCGGCCGCGCTGCAGCAGTGGAAAATTCCACACGCGCTTAATCACAGCTTTGTACCGCTGCCAGGGGGCGGAGCCGAACGAGCAGATAGCGCTGCGAGGCGGCGGCAGCGAAGGGCGCGCGGATGTTACGGTTCGGCGAGGCGGCAGCAGCGCGGCTTGAATGCAGCCAGGCCCACGGGGCTGAGCGGGGAGCAGCGTTAGTAGGGCAGAGGAGAAGAACGCCATTTAGAGCCTGCTAGCCCGAGCCAGGGCTGGTTTCACTCATTGCAAAGCCCCAAGTCCGTTTCCGTTACTGAGAACTAGGAAAGCTTTAAGTGCAAATGCTGAGGAACTGTGCCTTTAACAGGAAAAATAAACCCCCTCGGACATTCAGGCTTAGTAACTCACACTCAGGAGCAGGATGAAAGTTAGGAAGGGACAGGGTTGCATTATTCCACTTCTATCAGAGTACACAGAGGTGCACGAGGAATCTCCATCCTTAAAAATCTGTAGTGTCAGTACACCTCAGGACTACATTACACTGTGCCTACGAGCCAGCTGGGCTTCGTATTAATAAAGGTTTGGTGCTACTCCCTGTCAGAAGGGTGGGGGGGAAGAAAATTTACAGCACAGTTCAGAGTACTACAAAGCGACATAATTTCATAGGAAAAAAATTATAAATATTAAGAATGGATTACACTGTAGTTAATAATAGTACAAGTTGAGGCTTGGGGGAACAAATTACAATAGCAAAGCAAGCTGAGGAAAACAGAACTGAAGTCCCAGAGGCTTGAAATCAGTGACTCAGATTCAAAATAACCTGGATAAAATCTTACCTGGATTCTTAAAGCAGTATAGTTAAGCATTTTTGCATTTAGAAACTGGTTATTGGTAAGAGCGGGAACTGAAGATGAGCATTAAATTTCAGGCTACTGTTCTTGAAAGCATTTAGTAACAACCCCAGAATCAAGTGTTCTTGCTTGACAGCAGCTATGCTCCCAATCAAGGAAGCGCTTCAGAACACTCCTTTGCTGAGCACAGAGGTGTTAGCTGTGTGAAAGAGCTGTGTAGTGAATGTAGAAATGCTGGAAAAAAAAAATGCGTACATGCGTTCACTTCCCTCCTCCCACTTCCGCAAAGAAATCACTGCTCAATACGAGTTTAAGTATAATTTGAAGGTTTAATACTAAAGATCTTCCCATTTCTCTGAAGCTCATAGTAAGCCTGCATGCTAACTCACAAGGCCTGACAGCTGTAGACACATTACACTCAAGCCTAGTCTGCACATATGCAACAGTTATGGTGCTGCAAAAAAGCTTCCTACACTTGTAGCAGAAGCTCATTAGCAACACCACTTCAGCAGAGCTTTGGTTAGCAAGATTTTCAGCTATACCATTACTCCAATGAATCTTTACCAAAATAAAAAAAAAAAACAAACTGGCCCTATGCTAACCAGACAAGGAAGAAGACCATTTCCAACTGCTATTTAGACACCAGCTTTTGTTCTCTTCCCCACCAAATAGAGCCTGCCATGCTAAGCAATCTAGCCCAATCAAGGCAAGGCTGTTTTTTTTTTTTTTAATATAAGCTTAAATGTTTAATCAGACACAGTTGAGAAACCTTTCTAGAATATAAAAACATTTGACATTCCATTAGTGTAAAGTTGTGCACATGTTGAGAAAATTGCCATCTGAAAGAAAATTCGGTCTTCAAATATCTTTATTGGAAGGCCATGCACTGCCTTCTGTTACTGTATTTCAAATCACTGTACATTTACTTTGAAAACACTGTCTGCATTTTCTAGTACAAAAAACTAAAAATTGTTTCAGGAATGTAGAGAAATATTCAACTTAAATAGCGAAAAAGTGCACCATAATTACTGCTGCACTGCAGTCATTTCTGCGTTTCCCATTTCTTTAAATAACTATCCTGTTCTGAGATAACACACAATATAAAGAGCAATTATGAAAAACTGAGACATTTAAATACACTAAGTTATTGAGAATAACTCGCTGGCATTGGGTAACCTATCATAGGAGCAGCACCAGTGGCAGGATATGCATACTGCTGTTGGTTCATGCCATTGTGCATATTTGCAATGTTACTTCCATACTGCTGATCATAGCCATTCTGGTAAGCTCCTGCAGGGTTACCAGCCCTGAAGCCAGCTTGCATGCCTGCAGCTGCAAAGCCATTTCCAAAAGGAGTTCCATTACTGAAACTCTGGGTACTGTAGGCCCCATTTTGAGCTTTGGCTCCAAAGTCTCTCTTCCCTAGTGCACCATAAGTTCTCTCAAAGTTCTCCCTCTCTCTAAAGCTACTAAATCCACCCCTTTTGCCCGCAGAGTATCTGTCACGTCGGTCACCTCGGGAACGACCTATTAAAGAGACAAGACAGTTAGACGTAGTTAGATATAAGAGTGATAAAGATTGCATTTTATATACCACCTGCTGAGTTTAACTAGTGAACATTCTTTTCCTTTGTGCCCCAGCAAGTCAAGTCTACTGAACTTGACTTTCTAACTGGACTCAGTGGGCACACAGAATTACATCAAGGCAAGCTGGACTCCTTTCTCTAACTAACGCAGAGACACAAGCTCTCCCCTGTAACACGAGCGGTGGCATAAAGGAAAGCTGTTTTGGTCTCACCAACAGGACAGTTACATCCACCATCTCTTAACTGTAAGAGGAACCTAAACAGCTGAGCCCTGTGAAATCTTTTAAGACAGAACAAATGAGCCTGAAGCCCATCTGTGGCAATCAGCAGCTACAGCTCACAAGATGCTCTACAGCACAACACTGTGAGGGCAGCTTTTGTTCACATTACTAGCCTTAACACCTTTTGAGGTCACCATAACTGGCAAATAAGCTACCATCCATATCCATTTTTGGGAGGCTGGAGATTTCGAGTTTGTTCTGAGAGCAAAGCTATGCATTGTTAACAGTAGCACTTACCTGAACCTCTGTCTTCAATCAACTGAAGCAATTTAGGGTTGATGGCTTGATTAGCCTCCCGAAGCACAGAGATGAGGTCATTTACTTGCTTAATATTGTTAGGAGTAAAGAATGTATATGCTGTGCCTGTTTTGGTACTGCGGGCAGTTCGTCCAATTCGGTGGATATAGTCCTCTGAGGAGTTAGGGTAGTCATAATTGATGACAAATTTCACATCTTCCACATCTGTAAAGTGTTGCAGTGTGGCAAAAAGCGAGGTACAAAGTTTTGCACACCACAACAGCCAAATCGAAGATAAACGTTAGACAATAGTACTTTCAATGAAATAATGGCTGCAAAGAACAGTGTTAGAATTATCCATTTCTGCATGAATATTGTGGAAGAAGAAGATATGCACACTCCATCTGTTCCCGTCTTATCACCCACCCTGTGATCCAAAACCTTACCATAAAGGAGTATGCATTTGCTTGTCAATCACAACTCAAGAGTCCCCTTTACAAATCATCAAGTGACATCTGAATGCTTCTTGCAGTAGGGCCACTAAAGCTCACAGCAGCCTCTTCATGTGCTCATTTGAGGACCTTAGAGTAAAAACATACAAGGTCCTTGACATACACACTCATTAGAAGCTCAAAAAAAAGGGCCACACTGCTCGTCTTGCCAAGACCTTTGAACTGCAGCTGCAAGAAAAACATACCTGTCCCCCAAAAGTCACCAAGTTGTTTTTATGCACTGTCTCGTCTAGGCAAGCACTTCCAAGAAGCCAGCGTTCACTTGAGAATGTGTCTCTCTCTGGCAGGTCTCGACATGACGACTACATATAGGTGGAGGAACTTCGACTTTCAAAGGCATTTAGAAAAGCCAATGCTTTCCTGCCCCACTTGCTAAAGTGAGAGGTGGACTTTTTCTCAGATTTCATGTGCCAGTACTCACCAATTTGTACAAGGCTTAGTACATTTTAAAGCTGCTCTCTCCATTTCATGGTTGGAAAAAAAATTTCATTGAACATTGAAGTTTGTAATTATTTTCCTCAACATTTCAAACTCACCGAAATTCAAAGACCCACAGATCACAGCAGACAGTATGCACAAAACTAACAGTACTGCACCATGGCAAAATCATGCAAAGCATGGAGAGAAGAGAAATACCAGGGCAAAGTGAACTGTGAATGAGGCTGCTTATTTCATGAGAGAACAGTTTATGGGGGAGTAGTTTAAAGGATGATCTTTGCCTTTTGAAGATTACTGGCACACAATGCTCTCAGTTTTCACCTCTCTATTTGACTGGAAGCAGCCAGCCGATCACTTCCACTAGTCCTCCATCCCCCTCGAGTCCTCCGACTGTCATGCCTAGGCCTTGCCACAAAGACTGCACCTTTATGTGAAGAAAACTTAGAAAAATGCAGAGGTTAAAGAAAGCAATAGACTTTCTTTAAATAACTTTGGGCAACTGGCATTACGAGTTGTACTAACCTAGACCTCTGGATGCAACATCTGTAGCAATCAGGATTGGTGCTTTTCCATGTTTGAATTCTGTAACACAAGCAACTCTCATCAGTCTCTTCATGTGCCAAATACCAGATAGTCTGCTTACCAAACTGCTGAAATACTCACCATTTAGAACCCAGTCGCGCTCCTGCTGGCTTTTATCACCATGAATACCCATTGCTGGCCACCTGAGGATATAGAAGTTAACCGATTGACCTCAAATAATTGATTATTTTCATTATTATGACAGCTATTGGTAAATTCTAAACAGCTTCTGGATTTATCTTCTTAGCTGACACCTTGTCAGACAGCTGGGACACTGATCACAGGTGGTCACTAGTGAGAATCAAGAGCACATTTGGTTTATTGGGGTGGTTCACAGTACTATTTAGACTTACCCATCTCTCCTCATTTTCCTGGTAAGGTCATCACACCGTCTTTTGGTTTCTACAAAAACAATTGTCTTGTTTTCCTTCTCACTCATGATTTCTTCCATCAAACGAATAAGCCTGTCATGAAGAGAAAACAAAGCATTCATTACTTGCACTGTGCAATTTTTTTTTCCTCCTTTCAACACTGAGAGCTTTTAACAGTATTAGATTAGCCTCTAATACCCATTAAATTCATCTTCGTTGGTACAGAAGTTAAAAAAATCAACCATTAGAAACATACTGAGTGTTTTACCCCCCACTAACTACTCACTTGTCATCCTTCTCTACATCATGACACACATCAACAATCTGAAGGATGTTGTGATTTGCACTCAGTTCTAATGCACCAATGTTGATGTGTACATATTCTTTTAAGAAGTCTTCAGCCAGCTGCCTAACTTCCTTTGGCCACGTGGCACTCCACATCAGAGTTTGCCTGTCAGGCTAGAGAAAGAGATTTTATCAGTACAAAATTAACACATGATTAAGTAAACAAACAAAATCTACCCAGCGAAGTCTGAGTGAACTGCGCTATCCCTGTTTTAACCAACACTGGCATTTCTGCAATGCCATTAAATGCAGCTACCATTTATACTCACTCTTATCTGATCCACAATCTTTCTGATTTGAGGTTCAAATCCCATGTCAAGCATCCTGTCAGCTTCATCAAGGACAAGGTAAGTGCACCTCCTGAGATTGGTCTTTCCAGCTTCTAAGAAGTCTATAAGTCTTCCAGGTGTTGCAATGCAAATTTCCACACCTAAAAAAAATTAAAAGAAAATCAACCACTAAGTCACAGAAGTAGTTTTCACACTGCCTTACAATAATGCATCCAAATGTATCCTTACCTCTTTCTAAATCACGAATTTGTGGTCCCTTTGGAGCACCTCCATAAATACATGTAGACTTCAAGCGACACGCTCTGCTATATTCAGCAGCTACCTGCTGCACTTGCTGAGCCAGTTCACGAGTTGGTGCCAGCACAAGACACTAGAGGTAAGATGCCCAGCTTTTAGTTCCATACATGAAGTTTCTAGTCTTATGTTTTAAATCACAAAGTCACTATACACTACTTCAATGTCAGACTGACTGCAGTAGAATTGAGTTTCTCAAGCCACGTAAACAAAGTTCAGTAAAATCTCAATTACTGAACACTATCTAGTGATGTGTGATAAGGTACTCAAAATTCTAGCTTCTCTAGCTTCTAGTGGATGGCAAGCTCCAAAATGGGAGATGAGCTCTGATATAATTCTGTGAAGTCTATGGAACAGAGCTGATGGATTGTTTATGGAGCCACTTTAAAGGTTTCCACGATTAAGAGCCATGCACTCCTATTAACACAGACAATTAGACTGCAAGAAATCCACCTTCTCCAGCAGCTAAAATCCTCTTTCACTTAATACTTACAATAGGTCCATCTCCTCTCTCCAGGAATGGCTGATGATTTATATGCACAATAGCAGGCAACAAGTACTGTTCAGAAGAAAAAAAAAATGCCACATTATAGTTTCTTCCCAGAAGTGCTCAGCCTGCCTTACGTTAGGCTGTCCTTCACTGCTGAAATCCAGCAATATGCCACATAATAATCACAACTTACAGACAGTGTTTTCCCTGATCCAGTCTGTGCAACTCCAACCATATCCAATCCACTCAAGGCAACTGGCCATCCTTGTGCTTGAATTGCAGTAGGCTCAGTGAAGTTCTGCCTCTGAATCACTTCCATAACATTTGCTTGAAGAGAAAATTAGAACTTAACTCACATGTTGTTAATCAAAACAGAAAAAAACCAAACAATATGCTACCCACCACTTACCAGGAAAGTTAGCTTCATAGAAGTTTATTATTGGTTTTGGACAGTTATGGCCCCTAACTGTGACTTCTTTGCTTGACCTGTACTGCTCAACCTCTTGCTGCAAAAGAAAGATCTCATTACTGGAAACAGTTTTGGCACAGAAGTTACTTCAGTTACTCCATCCGTGCACACTGGGTCCCATGACCCTAAGCATGTTTGTGCTTGTTTACTTTTGCATGAGTTGGATGAGTACATACCGCAGTACGTCTAACTACATCAGGATGTTCTTGATAGAAGTTCTTTTCAAATTTGGGCAGTTCATCCAAATTCCATTTCTTTTTGGTAAGCTTTTCCCCAGGGTTTCCAAATTTTTTCCCAGAAAGTGGACCGGCTCTACTTCCTCCAAAACGAGGGGCTCCAAACCTAAAGAAGATTACAATTCAGGATCCAAGAGAAAATTTGTTCTCTTCCTATTACGTAACTGCTATCTTTGTGGTATGCCCTGCAACTTCACAATTCAGTTATCAACCCCACCTACGAGATACTAAACTTTCAAAGCATACTGAAGTCACAGATGCAACAATCCACCTATCTTCACGTTCAGAAGGTGAAGTAACACATTACCTTGCATTTTCCATGAAATGGAATGGCCTATCGACACGTTACAACATGGGCAATGTAACAACACGAACAACTGCATTACTCCACGATCAAAATGGTTTCCTACCCAACTGACACTCCCATTTTGTCAGCCTACAGAAAGCTGGCAGGAGCTGTTACAAAACCTCGGGACAACTTCCCTGTAAATGCACCATGTATCCCAAAAGACAAACTTCTCTCAGTAACGGTGCTTCACGAGGACACGCGTTTTCTGTTAATGTTTTATTAACCTTTACGCCCCTCTGTTCTGAAAAGCACAGGGCGCAGCCTCTCCTATCCTATCCCAGCAGCCCTAAAGCGCAGCTCGATGCAGCTCAGCGCCCGATCCGAGTGCCGTTAAGCCGGAGCCGAACGCTGGGCTTCTCCCCGCCCCCCCCCCCGCCTGCTGCCCGGCACCGGGTGAGCGATCCTTCACCACCATACAGCGCTCCCAGAGGGGACCGAGCCGAGCGGCCGCTGCTTCCTGCCAGCGCTGTTTCCTTTGTCTCTCATTTCTGTCTACGCCACATTTTCCAGCCGCTGCCATTTTAGAGTCTGAGCTGGGCGGGGGGGGAGGGAGGGGGAAGGAGGAGGAACAAAGGCAGCAGCAGCCGGCATTTTGATTTCCCCTCAGTCACCGCATGGCGGGGCCGGCCATTAACATCCGCTGACACAACACAAAGCGGGCGCCGGCCGGCTCCTGCCAGCAACAGCTCGAGCCGCCGCGCGCCGCGAGGGGAGGCGAGGAGGAAGAGGGAACCGCCCTACCGAGAGCTGCTCGACGCTCCGCCATCGCGAAGCGCCCGGCCAACCCACTGACCCACAAACCTCGTCCCGCCCGCCGCCCCCCGAGGCGGGGATGTCGAGGAGCTCCCCACCGACCGCCCACGGCCTCGCACTCCCTCGGAGCTTCTCTGCAAACCCCCGGTGCCCGCTCCCGTCTCCCCCCGGGGCCGCGCCGAGGCGCAGAGCCGAGACGCGACCCGCGATCCGCGGCCACCCACGCACCGCGATCGCCCCCACGCGGCTCAGATCCCCCCCGCCGCCCTTCGCGAAGCTCCGCAGACTCCGAAAGCGGAGACGGGCTCCCAGGCCCAGCCCACGGCCCGGCCGCCATTTTGAACAGCTTTCAAGGCAGCACGCGGAGCGCCGCGGTCGATCTGAGAGTCCGGACGCTGGCGGCGACTGGCGCCAGCCGGGCCCCCGGACTCACCCTCTATCCCTGTCGCTGGAATACCCGGGCATGGCGATGGTGGCGGTGGGCGAGGCGGTCCCGATCGCTAAAGAAGATGACAGAGGGTACGACGCGATCCGGCGCCGTCGGTGGGGGCCACTGAATGTAGAGCGCCTCACCGCCCCGGCGCCGGTTATATAGCGCGCCGCGCGGGCTGCTGGGAGCCGGCCAGTGACGCAGGCGCAGAGCCCTCCCCTCCTGTTATGCAAGCGGCCCGAGAAGCCCGGAATCCCCGCCCCCTCCCGCGTGGGCGGGCCCAGCTCGGCCGACTGACCGGCTTCTGAGCCGAGGCCGGAAGTCCCCCACACCTCTCGGGGCGTGGCCTTCGCCGCCGTCAGCGCCCGTCCTCTCCTCCCCCCGCCCCCGCACGGCTGTGCGCGAGCGGCTGCGCCTGCGTAGAGCGATTGGCTGGCGGCGGGTCGCGGCCCGGTGGCGCTGGGCTTTGCGCGGCTCAGGCTCGGCCTGGCGAAAGCGGCCCTGCGCGGCTCTGGTTCTCGGTTGGGGCTGCAGCGGCAGTTCTGTGAACTGAAGGGACCGCGGCTTTTAGCGGTGACGTCACCTTTGGGGAAGGTCTCAAGGACTCCAAGCGATAAACAGCCTGGCCACTTTATCCAGTAATCGTTAGTTGAAGCCGTGGCCTCGCTTTGCAGGCCATTAAAGGGGTTAGAGGTGCAAATCCTTGTGGCCTTAACAGGTTGGCCACAAATAATCGGGAGAGCAGACAGATTAAGTGCGGCTGGAGCACTTTTAGACCATGCAGTTACCCGCTGCCCGCTTTTCCAAGCGGCACATACCTGTGATTGGATACAGTTACTATTTTTACTTTCCCCAGGGGCTGGAAAAGCAATTCAAAGGTCACAAGAAGTGCAGCAGTGCACGCAGGGACAGGGCTGGCAGAACAAATAGCAAAACATCGACCAGCTGACGTGGCTGCTGTGCTGCTTATCTTCCCTCTGGAAGCCTGAGGAGAAACTGAGATGGCTCACACCTGTGGCTCTGGGCACAGCAAGGAAAAGGTGAAGCCTGGTACACAAACACCAGCAGCCGTATTGCCAGACCACCAGTGCAAACAAACACACCATAAGGAAGGAGAAATGCCTTCACACTCCCTGTTTATATCCTCCCACCTTCTCACAGTCCTCGCAATTTGAGGCTTTTCTGAAACAAAAATAACGTAACTGCATTTGACAGTTGGGAAGCTACACATGTTGTTTCCCATTTTCGTTATATTCCACTCCTGGCTTCCAACATACGACTGCAATGCATTTCAGTTTAATTGTACACTACCTGAAAAGCATTTCCTTCTCAATACGTTGCCTGATAAGAACTGGGGGCACAAAACAAAGCGAGTTATTAAAAACATTTCCTATTTATTTATACCCTTTGTCCATATTACTGTCATGTAAATCACCTCACTTATCAGCCGAAGCTGCAGTCTATCTCATTTTTTCTCCTTTAAAAGCAACTATAATAATCCCTGCCACCACATTGACAGAACATACAATATTTGAGATCTGGGCCCCAAAATCGATGTGATTTACAAACTGAAAGCATAAAGATGGTTTTGATTTGGCATGTATTATTTCCTAATGATTTTTCAGATAGTGGATCCTCCTAGATGTTTTTTTCAATAGGAGCCACTGACACAAAGAAGCAAGCTATGGAGTTATCCCCCCAAATACCCCTTTTGACTTTATGCCTACTGATCCTCCTGATGAATCTGAAAATAGGCCGTGTAAACGCTTTGAAAGTTAGCAGCAAATTATCAGACCTTTTCTTATTCTTATTCCATGCAGCTTAACACAGTTCGCTCAGATCTTTTTTGTTTATAACTTTGTCTCTTCTGTCACTGTGGGGACTGTCACTCTTCTTTGTCACTGTGTTGTTTAGCCTTGTTAAGGTTTTGAAGAACTGAAAGGACCAAAGAAACAGAAGACCTTGGGGGCCTCTGATCAGGTCTGCCTGTGTGCACTTAGCTTGCACCACTCTCCTGTTGATTTCCTCTATGAAAGAAAACTTCCTCATTTCTGTGTTCCACCCCTTCAAATTAAACATCATTGTTGATTTTCCTGTTCTCTTACTTTAAACCAACATATGCAAAGCAAATCAAAAGAGCTTGGCAAAGCTGAGAGTATCGAATTGAAAGCCATGCTTTAGTAATGATTTCAGAAGTGCTGGTGAGCATTTGCTCACACATGTGAAAGTTCTTTTAAACGATATGTGCATTTGATTATATATTTCTAAAAATTAAGTCCTCAGACAGCTGTCATTGTCACTGATGTTTACTTGCTGGCAGCCATTATTTTTAGTCATAATTAGGATCTCAGCTGCCTCTGTCACGCTGCAGGAGCTGAAGGATGAGAGGCACCATTAGTTCTGCTTCTGCATGACTTACAGTGAGGAAATCCCAGAGTTCCTGGGCAGCACAGGATGCTGTGCTTTGAGAGGAGGGTTACACACCCACCCCAGCCAACATCTTAAAGAAACCTAACAGCATACAAGGCTTCACTAAGCAATTCTAAATCTCACTTCTAATACATCTTCCAACCTTATTGTCCTTGGAAATTATCTCGTCGTTTTGCAGCTCCCCAACAAACCACGTCACCCGTCTGCTTACAGCCAACCCCCCCCCAACAACACCTCAATGTACGCCCAGCTCTCCCTGCTGGTGAACGGCACAGGCTGGATCTGCGAGGCCAAGAACTGCCCTGCCCTCCTGCCGCCAGCGCCAGCCCTCTTCCCTCCTAATTTTCTCCGTGAAAACACAAAACAACCGCCTGCCCTTCGGGGCGATGAGGGCAGAACCGCAGCAGCAGCGCCGCTGAGGGGCCGCCCTGAGGGACCGCGCCGCCATTTCGCGGCCGGAGCTCTGCCCGACAGGCGAGAAAAGCCAGGAGAGGAGGCCTGGGCCGCGCCGTGCCGGTGAGCTGGGCCCGTCACGGGGCAAAAGCGCGAGGCTCGCGTCAGGAAACCAGGCCCGGCCTTGAGGCACAAACTCTCCCCACCCCCATCTCCGTTTCCATGACGACCGGCCCCGCGCCAACACGCGCCATAGCGCCGAGGGCGCGGGCAGGACTCAGGGGGAGGGGGGGGCGGGAAAGGGCCTCTAAGCCCCGCCTCTTCCGGCGCAGCCCGCCGCTCCGCGCGGCCGTTGGAGCTGGGGGCGGCTGTTGGCGGGCGGCTGCGCCATGGGCAGCGCTGAGGGCACAGGTAGGCGCGGGCTGCGGCTCCGAGGGTTCCGCCCGTCTCCGCTGCCCTGTGGGGCCTCGCGGTGGAGCTGACGCCTTCCGTTTTATGCAGACGTGATGTTGCTTAAAGGTTCCCGCTCTCCTCTTTGTGTTGTGGATCCTTAAGCTTTTTATGTGCCCTCCCTTTTCTCCAGCCACGCTTTTAGGTCTGGAGGTGGCTGGTTTGGAGGCTGAGCTGCAGGAGGTGCTGCTCGAACCTGCCTCGCAGCTACAGCTGTTAAAGCGGTACTGCAGAGCGATCTGTGGAACTGAATGAAGAGTAGGAATGGAAAAGCATTTCTCCCCGTGTACAGAAAAGCAAAAGCAGTACCCAAGAGGCCTTGTGCAGGAACCACACAGTCCTCTTTCTTCCCTTTTCTCCCTTCAAACGGTGTCATCACTTTTCCAGCACCCTGCAGTCTATGGTAATGCTCACTGCTGTTTCTGTGAAGGACGGTCAGCTCTCAGCAGTGCTTTGGCTGATGCTGCCCGTGTTCCTCACTGCTCACATTTCTCTGAAGGAAATCTCACTGGGTGCAGAAAGCATTGCTGCCCTGATCACACCAAGTCCTGAGCCCATCGTGTGGCATTGGCCTCGTATCAAAGGCACCTGAAGTGGTTCCATCTTTCACTGTAACTATCCATTCTGTATTTCTGTGTCTTCCAGTTCTGTTGTTAATATACTCTACTTCTTTATAGATTGGGTCAACGTTGCCAATGATCTTTTAAGGAGCTGTCACGTAAACCAGCACATAAAGCATCTCTCAGAGTGCGGAGCTGATGTATTTGTTTGTCTTTATGAGTCGATCTTAGGAGAAAAGGTACCAGGTGGGAATGTTAATTCCTAAGGATGCTTTTGTGTGCCTCTGCATATTTTACAATGGACAAGTTCAAGTTTGCAAATTTTGCAACTAGGTATTGTTTCTGCTGGGAGTGAAGAATGAAAACTGTTTAAACAGTCAGTGTTCTTGTATTCAGTACTTCATCTGATAGGATCCCCACATCTTCTAGGGGATATACTATGTTTATGCTTCTTTTTCATTAAAGGTTTCATACAACCATATAATTACTGAACTTTTCACCAAGTCATTTTCTACTTAAAAATTAGTATTTTTAAACTCAAACTAGTTTAAGTAAAAATAACAGCAGTAAGCTGTCAATTCAGATAGCATAAAATGTATGTATTTGTTTTAAATAGATTTCATAGCTACTCCTAGAAGCCAAGAGAACGATGCACATAATGTACAAGCTGTAATAGATTCTCTGGCATTGGACTACCTGCAGGTCAGCTTGTCACACATCACTGGTAAGTAGTCATAATGTGGTTTAATTTGAACACGTCACAAGAACCATATGCCACAAATATTATGTAGATATATATATAATGTTTATATATATGTGTAATGGAATTAGATACAGTATCTGTAAGCTTTCAGTTATTAGAACTGAAAATATTTTAAGATACATTAAGTATTTGGGTGCAGCTGTGCTCTGAGCTGACACCTTCACAAGGATTTCCAGTCATGTTCAGAAAACTCCTCTTCTTTGAAGACTTTCAAACTACTTATTAACAAATAATAAATTAGTGATTATTGATATGACCATACCTTCTCTTGAGGTGAGAACATTGTGAAAGGAGAAAGGGAGTCTATCAGAAACCTCCTTGAAATATTTGATGGTTTGTTGGAGTATCTTACAGAAGAAGTCAGTGAATTCTCTTCTCAAAATGGAGGTGAGAAGACAGATTTCCATGTTTGAGGTATTGTGTTCTGATGATACATTACTATGGATTCTCCAATCCATGCCATTCCATAATTTAAATATAACCTTTATAATATTTTAAAAAGCACTTATAATGTTATATATATATTAAGACCCTTAAACTATTTT